ATATGGCAATAAGATAGCTGGCTGCCTCTATGTGCAGGCCTTTTCAGGGCATCTTCAGAGTTTGGAAACTGGGTATCTCACTGGTCATCCCGGTGAAAGGCCCGGCTCCACCATAGCGTGGGGTTCAGTTGGTGACTAGTTCTAGAGTGCTCCCTGTCTTCCAGCAGCAACTCAGTGAGGAAGGGAAGCTCAGCACAGAAGGCTGCAGAGGTTTCTGGACCTATGGGACACAGGGCCATGTCTACTGGTAGTTTCTGAGTTAAATGCACATGAGACAAATGAGCCACAATACTGAAAATGACTCAATGTGGTTGCTTCAGCTACTTCCAAGTTATACAAGCCAGGTTTAAGCAACTGCAATTATAATTCTACCAGACTATATAGTTCCATTTATATGGCTACGGACTTTTCAGTTTGTGTCTGTATTGCCTGGTTTTTGCTTGGCTGAGAAAATGAGAAGATGGACAGTTCTGCAGGGCTTTTACTTAAATGAAGGTTCTGGTGTAAACATGGAGCTTTAGGATGCTGGATACAACTAATGGCCATGTGTAGTATACACAAGGTAGTGTTACCCAACAACTGAAATAATAGCTTATGAAATAACTCTACTAACTCCCATTACTCATTTCCTCCTCCTTCTCCCTCTAGCAGCGTGACACTATACATTGCAAGGTTATTTCACTCCTCATATGAACTTCTGGCCTAGTGACTTATCCCTGAGGCATGCTATAATCACCAAGAAATGTGCTCTCTGTCACGTCTTATTGCTTAATTATGGCTCTATTTTAGGTTCCTAAAGCCATTTGGCTTGGAAAGACCTCTCTTATGTGTGACTTTGAACATGCATCCATGTTGAGTTATCCTTGAGTTCACACCAGTGTGTTCCACTTCCATCTTTTTCTGGCTTGGGCAGTAATTACTGCCCCTTGGTTAAGCAATGCCTTGAATTATTGCAATGGGCCCTTATAATTACACTGTTCTGCACATAAGAGGATACTTCAACCTTTTGTCAGAAAGGCATGTGCTTAAAGTTAATTTTCCCAATACTTGAAGTTTTTTGCTTTTTTCACTGATAAATCCCAGTGGGCCCACTGTTTTAAATCAGTGACATGCAAAAACCTCCCCGTTTTCCAATGTGCTCTTGCTCTGGTGACTACATTTTCTTTTGAACTCAAAATCTGGACATATTATCTAACAGAGGTTTTTGTTGTTATTGTTTTAGTTGTGTGTGGGTGTAGCTCCCCAGTGCTAATGGCAAACTGAAATGCATGGCAGGTCCTAGATACATTCTTGGATTGCAAAACAACTGGATAGAATATTTAAAATTAAGTGTTTGAAGAATTTGGGACTTCCGGAGGATACATCTATATTCAGTGTTCCTACCACTTATTCTGTCCTCCCATTAATAAGACATTACGTTCTGTATCAGCCTCTATTTTTATGATTATGTTCTGTATCAGCCTCTATTTTATGAGTATCAATCTTAGTCCTTTGCATAGACTAGAAGCTTCTTAGGGATAAAGGCAAAGATCATGTACCTCTTATACAGCTCTTCCATGTACGTAGCTGTATACAGTTGTTTGACCCATTGCATAGGGATGATGTTGCATTTTTAAGACAGCTGTTTGGGATTAGGAGCTTGCAAAAGTAGCCTGACATTAAGGTAAAGGCAGACTGGATAACAGTGTCCTGCTTCATCCCTCCAGAGAGTAGTTCAAGTCAGGCCTGGGGTAAATCTATGTTGAGAAGGGGTATAATTACCCTGGTCCAGAGCGCCCCAGGTCTGGTCTGGCAGACTGAGTTATATCTATCAGGGCCTTTTAAAATGCTGACTTGGCTCCTTAGAAATACAAAACTCAAAACATCATTTATAAAGGTCACTGGGAATGGCCTGGGTCAGAATCACTAGAGTCCGTTTTGTGCCAGTGCCTCAGAAGAGGAAGTTGCTAAATACTCAGATAAAGCTCCTTGAGAGTACTATGTTGCTAAATCCAAACAAAGAGTGAGAGAGGTTTATAGCCGAGTTTTTACTCTATAATTCAAATGCCAATCCAGCAATGAAATATGCTCTAGGAATTGCAATCAGATTTTTATCATCTGACTTGGAAACCAGCTGTGCTCTCAGTGAGTACAAAGATTTACTACCTGCAATTGCTATAATTCCATCAGTAGAATTATGCAGAGATGAAAAATTTAAGAAAAAACTCTTTGTTTTCAATGCAACACAAACCTTGTTTTAAGAAACTCTGTTTCCTTGAAACTAATAAAAAATGGCTCTAATTTAAAGAAAGTAGTACGGAATCAAGGTAAAGAACTCTGAAAATTCAGGAATTCAATTTACTCTTCAAAGTATTTTTTTTTAAAGATAAATGAGTAAAAATTACCACAATTTGGCAAAGACTGTCTTTTAAACAGAACAAGCGAGATAACCCAAAGCAGTTAACTCCTCAATTACATAGCACATCAAGTGCCCTGATAACCTTATGCTCTAACTACTTGAGAAGTGGAAGAGAAGAGGAATTTAACTCCAGGAAAGACAGCTCTACAAAGTGCCCCAATAAACTCATGGCAGCAATTTTGAACCAATAATTTCCTTCACAGAAACTAACAATTACTGCGAATTTGTGAATCCATATATCAAAAGTCTTTTGAATGTATTTCATGATTTTAAAAGATATCAGGGCTATCCTGGAGAAACCCGTGCATATGGTCCTCATACCAATGAGCCTCATGTCTCCTTCATTTGCTCGTGTTCCTCTCACACATGGGCTACAGCTGCTCTTGTACAAAACTGATGCAATAGAACTTTGTCACTTATATCATCACCTGAACACTCAGATACCACCCTGGGAAAGCCAAGCAAGGTATGTTTTTCAACATAATGGTTTCAGTGGACCATTTATAGAAAGCATTTCACAGGGACCAACACAATCCCAGAGTGGGTTTAAGAGGGATGCAGTGAACTTTGTGGTCTGCACTCTAGGAGATACATCAAGGTTGAAAGAGACACATCAAGAGTTTAGATAGGATAACTTGACTATCCCTGTAAGTTTAAAGTGAGCCAGTTGGCCAACATGACATAAGTGAAATCTCTGGCTCTCAAATTCCTCATCTGTAAAGTGAGATCATTAAATCAGATGATCTCCAAAGCCCCATCCATTTCATTTATTTCATGGTTTTCATTTCTCCATATATCTTATATAATAAATTCTTAAGGTACTTAAACTGAGTAGTAAGTTGTATCCATCTGTTTTTGGATACAATATTATAAACCTCATTTATGGATGAATTTTGTCCTAACAGAGGTTCATATAAAAATAGCGGATTGTATCTACCATATGAAGATTCAGGATGCATTACTGCCACACACTGCTCAAGAACACATATTAAACTGTGAAATTAAAAAAAAAAGATAAACGAGAGACCACATTATAAGTGCATCAGATTTGTTTATCCCTTAGAAAAATAGGACTATATTGGACAATGAAGTTTTCAGTTTTTATGCATGTCATTCATAAATAAAAACAAATGGTCTATAAAAATGTCTCTGTTTAGAGAAGCCAGTAATGGAGAGCTATAATTTCAGGTCAAATTACATAATATAAAAATACAGTGCTCATCCTCACTATTAGAAAATAATATTCTCAAACAAACTCATTAAAAAATTATTTTTCAGAAATTATTATGTATACTATATTACATTTGTCCTTATCCACTTTTATTTCTTTTTTAAGACTTAAAATGCTTGACTTCACTGTTTGGAATTTCTGATAAATCAGAATTTAACGTGATATTCACAGATTTTGTAACAAAACTATATTTATTTACAAATTCACATATAGCACAATGTAGTGGTCAAGTATTAGTGATGGCAATTAATAAACTATTAGAGTAATAAGAAAATCACCATTTTAACAATTTAAATGCTTTATGACAGGATAATTTATATCCAACATATAAAATACATACTTACTGTAATGTCAGAAAGAAAATGTATTTTTTTCATAATCAAAAGTAGCAAGATTTTCTATATTATTTTCAATCTCACTATAGACAAGTTTTCATTGTCTAAATTTAATCAATGTGCTGATTAAAGATAATTTATTAATAGTAAAATTATATATATAGCATGCTGAGATATATGTGTGTGTGTGTGTGTGTGTGTGTGTGTGTGTGTAC